AGAAGAAATGTTGTACAACAGGATCTCAATATGTCTTCTTAAACAGTAAAAACCTTCAAAAAACATTAATAAAGTTGATTTTGTACGTCAGGTAATCAGGTATGTAAAAATTTTTTATGAGCGAATTTTTTTATATATCGCATGAATTGTAAAATAATAGTTTTTTTTTTATATATATATAAAAATCAAATGAATAAGGTTTTTATCATAAAAACTTTTTTTCATTTTTGACATTAAATAATCTAAATCAATATTTTTCTGAGCGCTCTTAACTTGAATAATATGTTTTCCCTAATATTTTTCAGCCTTATTAATGTTATATTCTAATGAGTTCTGAGAAAGTCTAAATTATCGGTATTTCTCAAGATCTAGAAATTAATGATTTTGCAATATATTTACGTATAATTTCAATAATCATGAATACGTCGTACTGTACATCGTAATTTTCATAGTCGTTTTATTATATCTTTCAGAATCTTTTGAAGGAGAAGAAAAATGAATTTTAAATATTGTGATACACAAAAATATTGTATTATGTAATGAATTTTCAAAGTTTTCATCATTCACACAGCTTTATGGTGCAAATACTTTGTATAACATCGGAAATACTATTAAATATCGGTAACGAAGATGAAAAAAAGAAAAACTTTAGTAGGTAAATGGGAAGTGGATCAGCGGGTGTATTTGTTGTAATTAAGAAATGTTCTAACGTTTTCTTCTTTTTGTAGGATACTATTAAGCAAGCTGAAAGAATTAAGATTCATCGTAGGTATTATGAATCTTTTTCATTTTTTTTAATAAAGTGTAACAGTTTAGTAACCGTTCTTATTTTTTATTATATAGGTTTTTCAAGAATGGAAAAGAACTAAGATTCGCCATATAAGTATTATGAATCTTGATCTTTTTTTTTTATTTGTTTTTTTTTTAATAAAGTGAAACGGTTTACTAAATGTTCTTGGTTTTTTTTTTACAGGTTCTGGGTAGGTTAGATTGCGTATTATTAGGAGAGACTGTAGTAAAGTATACCAGACACTTCCTACAATCAGTACGTTTGATGAAAGGGTAATTCATCTCCTGGCTAGAATACAGGTTCCGCATTTGGGTATCAAAAATACTGCAGTAAAGTTTTTACCAAATCGGCTTGACTGGATATGCCACCTAATTACGCGTCCCATCTTTATAGTTCCAAATTTATTTCCTGGAGTCTCATTTATGAGAACTTGCTTTGGTGTGATTAAGATCTTTTTGCTGCGCCATACTTGCTTGCCAATTTTTAGAATGTGATCGGACTCATATATACAATTATTTTACTATGAATTTAATATATATTTACTATGATGTATTTACTGTGAATTTACTATATATTATTATGTATTTACTGCAATTTACTACATATTTATTGTAAAGTTAATACAAATGTTCTATAAATTTATTATGAATTTACTACATGTTTAAATTGTTTAATGCAAATTATATATATCATTACTTTAAATCATTTATACAGTTTCTTGCTAACATTTATATATAGTTTCTTGTATTAGCAATACAATTTCTATACTATGACTATAATTTACTATATATTTTCTATATTAAATACATACAACTGCGTTAGAATTAAACATAGAATAGCCGTACGCCTACTACGTTAAGTGGCGGCAGCATGGCTACTATATGGGTTTCAGCAAAGGTATTTGCTTCCAGAATACGTTATACTTGATTCATTATGAAATGATCCCTTTAAAATACCTTCTTTAAGTTCTTTTAAATTTGGATACTTGTTTTAGTGCAAATATTAAGTACAATATTCTGTAATATACAGTAGATTTTATAATATAAAAAAATGATGATAATTTTAATAAATTATGCTTAAAATATATTGTTACTTACTTTATACCATTCAATTTTTCCAATAATGCATGTAATTGTTGATGAATTATCCATTGATTTTGTAAAATGGTATTTGTTAAATGAATTCCATTGATAAAAATCAACTTCTTCATCTAATAAAAAATAGATTTATATTTATTTATTATGAAGAAAAAAATAAATAATGCAAATATTTTAAATACCTTCTTTAATTTCAAGTTGTTTAATATCATCTTCATTGAGATTTATAAAACAATTAATTTGATGTTTGATTATCATTATCATCGTTATCAATTTCGTTAACCGCACTTCCTTTTCTTCCCTAAAAAAGTATTTATTAAATAAAATATTTCAATATTTATATTATTAAATATACAAATTAATATAAAATTAATAATAAATATCAATCTGAATTGTGTGATGTGAAACGTGTGATATACTATTGGGTCGTGCGTAAGTTCCCCGGTTTCAGTTAATGAAATTTTGGTCATTTTTTCCTTATATCCTATTTTATTTAGTTCATAAAATACTAGATTTTAAATGATGTTGATAATCATTGTTTATTTATTCATACTATATGATATACTAGCTGTAGCCTGTTGCGTTGAAACAGGATCAATTTATATAAAATATATTACCAATGGTTTTTTCCTTTTTCTACTACAGGCTTGTCTTTCTTTATATAATCATTTTTACATTGTTCAGGCATTTTAACTTCTGAAAAGTAGCCATTTGGGTTACAGCATTAATAATAGTACTTCACATTATATTTATTAAAGAAGTATGGCTGTCGTATTAGTATCATGGAATATAATTAAATATTTTATTTATATAATTAAAAATTACTACAACTTAAAGGTTGGAGATAGACAACCAAAAAAAATTAAAAAAAGCTACTATTGGCGAAAAAAGTATCCATTATCAATTTAACCGTATATACACATGACTCTGATACTGTAGCCAATATAAAAAAAGATATAATAAGTAGAAATTATGATATTGATTTACCTATCCAAAAAAATTTAATTTATACTAGCAGTTACCGTTGCTTCGCTAGTATTATAATGTAATACTAAGTAGTTACAGTGGTTTTTTTGTTTATAATCAGGAATTTAATATGGTAATAATTAGTTAACAAAAAATAATAAAATAATATGTTTTATAATATTAGAATGATATAAATTATATTTACGTTTGAGTTTAGAATGAAATTCGGATTAATTAAGGAATTGTGAAAAAATAATTATAAATAAAAATTGATCAATTTTTTTAGAAGTATTTTTGATATTATGAAAACATTACAAATATTTTTATAAATTTTATAATTATTTCTTATTATTTTATATTACATCAATCTTAAACTTATAACTAACTTAGGAAAAATATTTGAACAATTAAATGTATTAGAATCTGTTCATTTCACTTATTATTATTCTTTTGATATTAATTTAACTAAATCATTTGAATTAAAATCTTTATTCAAAAATCTGGTGATTATTTAGAGAATTTCGGATATGGATTTGGTTATAATAATCTATTATTAAATTAACAATTTTTTCAATTAATTAATTAATTATAAAATATTTTAAAAATATCAATTTTTTTGATTTTTATGAACTTGAAAATCAAACTATTTATCCAGCGTTCAGTTTAATTGAAAAATCTTAATCATCTTTCTATCGACGTCGGTCAATTTTCCTAAATGTTATAGTGATTTTTTTTTAAAAAAACAATAATTTTGTAAATATATTTAATATAATATTTTATTTCTTTATTTAATGATAATAAAAAAAGAAAAAAAAATCATAATACGGTCTAAAAAAAAGATCGAAAAAAAATAATATAAAAAAAAATCGGTCTTAAAGATCGAAACAATAGGATTATTTAAAAAAAAAAAATTTTTTCAGGAAAAAAGATCAAACCTAAATGGGAAAAGAATAAATTAGTTGATTGGCACACGGATCGACTATAAATAGATCAGGGGATGCATGTCCCGAGTTTTAATTATATGGTATAGGATTTCAAGTTGCACAATTCAAAATTATTTATGCCCAAACGTCAAATTTTATATAGATTTATCAAAAAATTTAGAAACAATATCATTGAATAAAAAAAATCTCTCTAAATATCGAAAAGCCGTAGGACATAGTTCGAATCTGATTATAGTCTTGACCCAAACCAAAAAAGAATAAACAATATTTTTGGTTAAAAAAAAAATTCCAAAAATTTTGATTTATTATTATAGAGTCGTGGTAACTAAGAGGGCAGAAATGACCGCAAATTAATAAGAAAAATTATACTTTTTTTGTTAATATTGATCCATCAGAATAAAAAAAAATCCAGTTAAAATTTTAACTAACCGGAAATGTACTTATTAGTTTCAATCAAATTTCCTTAATTATGATATGATAAATACGAAATAGATCGGACGCACACTTTTATGTTATCAAATACTTATACAGGGTAATCTAAATATGAAAAATTTTTTATTCTCAAAATTTGAATTTTTTTCTTTATTTTTCTTTTTCGCATATATATATTTGTAAAAAAAAGGTAATGGGGATAAAAAAATCAAGGTATAGTAATCATATTATTATTTAAAGCATTATTTTAATAATTTTTAAAATTCTTTTTATTTTATTTATTTTTATTTATTTAGAGATGCGATAAGAAAAGCGACAACCGTATTTAATAATTAAACAAGCATCAAAAGATTATATATTTTTTAAAAAATTCAGTATTATGGTGTAATGAATGTGAAACAAAATTATTTAAAGAAAATTTTGTTATTGGACAAATGAAATAGATTTATTAATCGAATTTATAAAAAAATTCAATTAACAAATTCTATTAAAAAAAAAATTATTTAAAATTAATTCCATTTGATGAATTTAAAAATATATTATTAGAAGAAGGTGGTTATAGTTAAAGTTTATCTCGCTTCTTGGAATAATGGACTTTCTTTAAAGGCCGGATAAATGAAGTAGTAGAAAACATGATGATTTATTTGGAAATTAATTTATGAAGAAGCTCCTAACAATGTTAGAGAATTTGGTTTACAATCTTTATCTTTATCTGATAATAAAAAAAAATCCGATGGCTTATTTAAAATTGTTAATAATTAAAAAATAAGAGAAAATCTCTTTCTTCTAAAACTGAACGTGAAGAATTAAAATTATGGAGTGATCGCGTTGTCGCTAGACCTTAATATGAGGTGATTGGTTTTTTTATTTTATTTTTGTTTTATATAAGTTTCTATATTTAGGGGTGGAGGTTAAGTAAAATCTTACGTGACACAAAATTAAACTTTTTTATTGGTTAAAATTAGTAATATATATATATAATTGAAATATTATTGGTTAAAAAAAATCTTAGGGGGAGGCTCCTTATGAAACTATATGTCACTGCCCTAATTATTAATTTATTTAATCTTTTGAATACATGGAGGAAACATTTTATTTTCGTTTAGCAATAAAAGTACAATAGGATCTCAATAGTATCTCAGTATGTAATTCTTAAACAATTAGAAGAATTGATGTGAACTCTTTCCGACGATCATCTTGTCCACAAATTTTTAAACAAAAAACGGAAGAGTTGTTATATTTAAAATGTTTTTTGGAACCAGACAAACGTCACCAACTGAATATTCTCTCTTTTACGGACATTTCGAGACGAGTTTCGAGCAAGGACAAGAAGTACGAAGTCCGAAAAAAGACTTGAGTCGTGTTCGCAACCTGGGCATATTACAACAAAACGGTTTGGGCCTAACAATTTTTGGGAACAACCGTATTTTGCACGATGGTTGATAACGTTCTGCGGACGGGTCAAGATCCTATTACCTCCACTTAGGCTTAAGACTTGGGAGTGCTCTTCTCTAAAGGTCCTTCGGTTTCGAGGCTTCCTAAAGATTTTTTTTTTCCTTGTGGCGCAGCACAAATCTAAGCACGTAAATTTTGACTTTCCGGATATTTCGACGGTTGCAGCACATTACAACGTGACCATAATAACAAATTTTTTTTTGGGCGGGTGAATTACTAAACAGATGTACGTGTTGTCTTCAATGCCTTGAGGTGCGAGGGTTCTGGGCATCAAAGGAGAATCTGGTGTTGCACGGAGAGGGATGATGTGTCGTTCTTATAGTGTGTAAGATGCGATTTAGTCTGGTTCATAGCTAGTTGTAGTGGTTTGGGTTATAGATATCCTTGGGTTTTTTAGCGATCGTGCTTTTCCCCAAATCTGTAGTCTCAGATTTTTTTTTTTCTCTTGTATAATTTATTGTTTTTTATTTTTCTTCGGCTTGTTAGTCTTTACTTCGTTTTATTATACGGAGATTTCGGTCTGGAGAGATTTAGGAATACGTTTAGCTTTGACTAAATTTCAATGTATTTTTTTGTATTTAACATGTAATTTGTTCTTCTACACTTACGGAAATAAAAAATGCGTTTACCGATAAAAAAAAAAAAAAAGTTCGAAGAATATTAATGGAGCGGATTTTGTACGTCAGGTACGAAAAAATTAAAACGTTTTTATCATAATAATTAGATAAATTTTATATAATTTTTTCTTTTTTATTCTCCCTCCATCTTATACGGAATTTCTTAGGATCTAGAAACCAATGATTACATTTTAGCTATGAAGTATGAAAGCGGGAAATTTACGTCAATATCTTCAAGATAATTTTGTTGAATTGATTGGTATCAGAAAATTTTCATATTATTAGAAATAACGAAAGGACTGAAGGTATACATGATCATAAATACGTACATCGTGATTTTCATGGTGGAAACGTTTTATTAGATCTTTCGGAATCCTTTGAAGGTGAAGAAAATGAAGACTCAAAATATAATGTTACACAAAAATATAATATATTAATTTCAGATCTAATGTATTTGCTGATTTCTTATCATATTAAAAAGTTTTATGGTATAATACCTTATATAGTACCAAAATATTATCAAATATTGTTAACGATGATGAAAAAGAAAAAATATATACTAAATCTTCAAACGTTTATTCTTTTGCAATGATAATATGGGAATTAACTCCAAATCAACGGTCTTTTGTTCGTTTGAAAATTAATAAAAGAAATTATTAATGGTTTACGTCCTGAAATTATTAAAGGAACTCCAAAATCTTATTTAGATTTAATGATAAAATGTTGGGATAATTCACCAAATATTAATATAAAAGGATTCTTTTTAATAATTATAAAAATCCTGAAGCTTTTTATTTTTATAAGTAAAGATAATACGGTAATATATATTTTATAATTTGTAAATATAATTTATTGTATCAAATAAAATAATTAAATCTAACCGTCGATATTTTATTTTTAACAACGAAACAAAATGTATATTGTATAACTAATAAAATTTGTATATCCAGTTAAAAAATATGAATAAATGTTTTACGTAATATTTTATCTCTTGCTATAAAGTTGAATTACTAATATTTTATGAAATATCCTACACCATACGTACAAATACCTTTCAATAAAAAATTCCTGAAACGAATGATTTTCTTTTATAGATAAAATGGTTTAGTTTTTAAAAAATTTTCAAAGTATGTTGAATAAAACAAAATGATAATAATAAGAAAAGTAAATAATTATAAGATGCTAAGGATATCTTTTAAATCAAGTAAATTTTCCATTTCTTTTCTTAAAAAATACTTGTCTTTGAAAGTTTCTGGAACATTTGATAAAAATTGGGGATAATCCGGTAACAAATAACCCATCATACTCATGTTGGGAATGCAAGTTATTGTGTTTGCATTATGTCCGAGTCGAACATAATCTATTTGCTATATGAATTAAAGAATAATATTATATTTTATTCTGAAAGGAGATTAATCTGAATAAGTAAATAGAAAATATACCATATCAACAGAATATACTTCAATTGAAAGTTGAAAGTTAACAAGTCCCCAAAAAAGCTCATATTCAATCCAACCTAATCCCTCAAGTTTTGACACATCTTTATACTTTAACATATGCTCTTTTTGCCTATTATCCTATAATAATTGAGTTAATATTAATTTAAAATAGAATAAGAGATTTAAAATAATTAACTTACAGGCTTAACTATAAATTTTATATAGCAATCTTCAGATATTATTTTTTTAACATTCATTTTGCAAATAAGATAATAAAAATCATCACATTTTAGTGTAGGCAAATCTAAATAAAGTTTATTATTTTTAGAACACAATACCAGTCCTGATAAACTTAAATTTTAAAATTATGGTTAATTTGTATTTAAGATAATTTGATTTAAAGTACTAGCAGTATTATGAATAGACTTTACCTGCTATCACTCTCTTGATAAAATTCATTACTATTTATAAGATTTGAAATAAAATATACTTTTTTTTCTAGTAAGTTTTAATAATATATTAATTATTATTAACTTAATTAGAAGATAATAAATAATTTAAATATTTTTTTACCTTTATACATGTATTTACTCAATTCATTAATTGTTACAAAATCATTTTTGTTATTTTTACATAAATATGACCAAAAATCTGAATACTTTTGTAATGAATGAATGTATGAAAAACACTTATGATAGCCATCAGCAGTTAATTCAAATAACATATCCAAATCTACTTTTGCTTCATAATACTCTTTTAATTCAATATATATTTTACATCTAATAAAAAGTAGTGATTTACTTTCATAAATATGAGGAATCTGATTGATTTTTGTTAACATATTAATCAAATCATAAGAACTATCTTCATTTAATAAGCATTCTAAATAAAATAATTGAATTTTTTCTAAAATATTATCAGAATTCAGTAAATTTGATAATTCTGTATACTTATTAAAAACTATTGTAGCATTGTCAATATCTTTTTTTGTATAATATGTTAGACTCTTGAGATAATATGCTGAACTACTTTTTGGATCTAATTGTATAATTATATCAAGATCTGATAAAACTTTATCATATTCTTGAAGAATATAATATACAATAGCTCTCTTATTCAAATTATGAATGTTTTCTGGATCTATAATATTTGCTTTTGTAAAATATGATATAGCTTTACTATATTGTGTCATATTACATAAAATTTCTCCATAATAACATAAAATCAAAGAATCCTTCTTGTTAATATTTAACAATTTGTCTAATAACATTAAAGAATTTAAATATAATCCTTTTTTTTCATAACTGTATGCACAATTTTTAAGGCATAAACAATTGTTTGGATCATTTTTTAATGAAATATTATAATTTTCTGCAGCTTCTGTATAATCATTGACATAACTAATACGCAATAGGTAACTGTTTCCAAGTATTGTATATAAATTAGTTAATTTTGCTTTATATTCTAATGATTTTTTTAGATAATCTATAGCTTCATCATATTTATTTTGTCTAAAATGTATTTCTCCACAAATAAAATAAGCAACTGGTTTTTTGGGATTTATATTAATAGCTTCTTCTAAGTAAAAGTGTGCTTGTTCATAATTGTTGAGACATCTATAAATATAAGCTAAAATACATCTTAAAGAATAACTTTTAGGAAAAAAATGTAAAAATTCTTTACATAATAATTCAGCTTTTTCATAATGCTTTTCATTTATTTCATTTATAATATTTTGGTATGTTGGACGTTGTTTTTTTGTAATTCTAGAAAGTATTGATGATGATATTTTTGAATTTAATTTAATAATTGAATTCATGAATTTCTTTTTTTTAGTTAATAAAGGATCAACTTCTGAATTATCTGAATCATCATTATCATATTGATTATCTATTGTTTGACCCGAATTTTCTAATTCAATAAAAGGTAAAATATGTCCAGATTCAAAAAATCTTGTATATAAATTTTTATAAATAGAATTTTGCGGTAAATTTCTGATATCATTGTCCTTAAAATTTTCCCGACATTTAGGACATATTTTTTGTTTTAACTTTTTTAAATTATTTAATGATAATATATGCTGACATTTTAAAATACATAATTGATCTGTTGGTTCACTACTAATTGGACAAGTAATTTCATCTGCTATAACATCTAAAATGTTAGAATTTGGTATTTGTTCTATTTTTAAATTTTGATTTATCCCTTTTTCTTTTCTCTCTTTTCCTTTTCCAGTATTATTGCCTAGAATTTTTAAATCCTCAAGATATTTTTCTTTGACAAAAGTTAATAAATTTTGAAATTTTTCTATGGGATCTGTTAAATTATTTTCATTTAATTTTTGTGTGTATTGTTCAAAATCAATTTCAATCATTGAAAACATTCTATTATCAATATTGTATAAATGTAATAATAGTTCAATAGATTTAAACTGAATAAAACTGCTTGGTGCTTTATTAAGTGATTCAATTGCCAAATAATAACAAAGACCATATGTAGCTATTCGAGATGATCTTTGGATAAGATTTTGTGCAAGATCTAATATTCCAAACCACAGAGTATGTGGTAATGCAATAGGTTCATTTCCAGTAATATCATTTAAAAGTCCTTTAGAATTTTTCAAATCCTTAATGATTTTATTTGACACTTCATCAAATTTTGTTTGAGAATCTAAAATAGATTTTTCTGCAACATCATTCCACTCTATTTCTAAGAAACTCCAGATATATTCCATTAGTATTAATTCTCCAAATTTCTTATTAATAATCTTTTCAGAGCCTTCAGACCAGATGAATAGATTGTATTGAATTATTAACATAATTCTCCAATTTATATAATATGATGCTACTGGATATTTAAAACTTAAACTTTGACGTGCTTGATTAAGCAGTGATAAGATTGTACAATCATTATTTGGTATAGCAGCTTTTGATGATGGTATAATATTTAAAATAGTCTTTAATAATTCTCTAATTTTTTTTAATAGTTCTTGAAACCAAGTTTCATTCTCACGCAGACTATTAAGTGTATCTCTCAAGTAAATTAATAAAAAGTTAATATTATAATTATATATTTCATCTTTTTCTTGGCGAAAATTTAATTTAAGATTATTATCAACTACCTGTGTTGTTTTGTAATAAATCTCTGAAAATTTCATTAAAGAATTGTAAACTTTATCTTGAAGATCCTCACTAAGAATTATTGGTGGTTGTGAAAATTGTATTCGTTCTAAAACTGCTACCCAGGTTCGTAAATGTAATTCTAATCTTGCCATGTAATCTTTTGAATAATAATCAAATAAGTCGGGATTAGATAAGGATTTCAATGAATTTATTAATATTTGAGACGAAAAGTTATTCCGCAAATTTTCAATAAGTAATTTAAGTGCGTACAAATATTTCGGATTAGTCAGATTTTTTATAAGTTCTTCTGCTTTGTCATCCGGCGCAGTAAATCCCTCATTTTCTAGTTTGAGAAGTAATTGATTTTTATAAACACATGTATCATCTACTGATGGTTCCGTTACCTGATTTGACACATTTGGCATACAATTTTTGGATTCCATTATTATTCCACTTACAACATTTAAAGATATGATATCATTTATTAAATCATTATTATAAACACTTATATCATCTAATGATGGTTTCATCGCCTGACTTGATACACTTGAAGAAACATTTTCAGATTGCTTTATTATTCCACTAACAATATTTAAAGATGTGATATCATTTATTAAATCATCATTGATATCTATAGTTCCCTTGCTTGAGCTTGAGTTCGATTGGTATTCCTTTAATTCTTTCTTTTCATTAAAATCATAAATAATTACATCATTTTGTTCAGATGAAATAATTGCTTCAAGAACTGTAACAACTTCTTGCATATTTGGACGTTCATTTGATTCATATTTCCAACATTCTAATAATTCAATAAGGAAATTAAACACTTATGATTTTAAAACATATATATGAGCATTATTCATTACCTGTATATAACTTATTATATTCAACAGGAGTTCCATCAATCATTTCTTCTCTTTCGCCATTTAATATTTTTAATACTAAGTATGCGTCATAATCAAAACCTTTAGTCTTAAATGGTTCATCTCCACTTGAAATTTGCCATAGTAAAACTCCAACACTATATACATCAGATTTCTTATTTAATTTATAATTCTGTCTTTGATTATTGAAACTTTCCGGGTCTATATAAGGTATTACACCAAAAATTTTTGATGCATCACTTGATGCTTCAGCAATTTTTTTTGATAATCCAAAATCTGCCAATTTGATATTTTTCTCATGTACGAGTATATTGTTTTGATGCTTTAATTATAAAAAAAAAGAAAAAAATTATATTAAAATGCATTTAATTACATTACAATAAACCAATTAAAAATAACAACGTTTAATATTACCAAATCGCGGTGAATAATATCTTTCTCGTGTAAGAATTCTACAGCACTTGCCAGTTGCAGTGCTAAAAGACATTTTTCATTCCAATCAAGCTTATTAAAATGTTCATTTAAATAAGTACTTAATGTACCATTATTGGCATATTCTAAGATTAAAGAGTACTTATTCATTTGATGAATTGTGTCTGAATAAAAAGATTTTTATATAAGTAAATCATTACATTTATGACATATAATACTTCAAATACCCACCTTCAATCTTCGTAATTCCATATAATCTTACAATGTTTCCGTGATCATCAACACTTCGATGCAATTTTAACTATAACGAAATATATATATATTACACATATAGTACAAATAGTATATATAAAATTCAGTTAATATTTTATTTAATTGAAATATTCATTAAATAATAAAATATTAATACCTCTTTTACAACTTCTTTAAGAGTTTGTTTATCATTATTAAAAGACTTTATAGCAAAAAGACGGTTTGAATTTTTCCAATTAACACGAATAACATTTCCATATGAACCTTTTCCTATTTGTTGAATATTTGTAAAGTCTGAATACTCATAATATTTGATATGTTCTTCAGTGATTGAATTATCTAACCAATCAATATAATAATTTAAATCTTCTGTCTCAAAGTTTTCTGCCATTTTTTTTTTTTTTTTGTTTTATTGGGAGTTGGAGAAAAACCATTCAATTTACCAAATATATTAATATAATTTTTCTGTAACGTGTGACAAGTTGATCATAAAGCTTGCAACCGATCCTTGTACCGCAGGAAAATGTCATAACGTGATTTTAATGCCGATCATCTCAAATTCTAAAAATATTTTTTGCATTTTATTAATAATTTAGACCACGATGGTCATTACAATTTAAAATACCTCGATCTAAAAACCTAATAAATTTATACTATAATTGTTAAGTCTATAAAAATTTGATCTAATTACTAAACTAAAAATTTTCCTATTTTTTTCGATATTATCCTTATGTTTTTCTAAATTTACTAAAATTTTGCTATACTATGACTAAAATTGATGGTCTATAAAAAAAAAACAATTTATACAATTTGCATCAACATAATAAAAAACATACAGTAATATGAAAAATTATACAAAAAACACGTAATAGATTAAAACGTTAATAAACTAAATCTTAATAATCTACGCTCTTGATAGAAATGTATCCGAAAAGTCATACGAAAATTCTCCACTCGTCCGCATTCTTCTTCAACCATTTCCAAACGTGAATCAATAAAATTTCGTCTTTAACTTTGTTTAATTAAGAGAAATTAAATTTTGTTTATTCATCAACAGAGTGTACTCTGTCACTGCCTGGCGTGTCATTACGATATAAATATATAAATATATATACAGTCGACCCCCTTTATAGTCGCACCCCTCGGGAGAAAAAAAGGGTGTGATTATAAAAAAAGTCATATGTTGTGACTATAGAGGAGGTTTTCTAACAATATTTATTGGTACATTGGGCCAAAATATGGTGTGCTTATAAAGGGGAATTTTATATGATGTGATTATACAGGGGGTGACTATATAGGGGGTCGACTCTTCTTGTTTTCGTTTATATATATATATATTACTTTCCAAATCCACAATCTCTGTTTTCTTTGTCGTCTTTGAAATCGTTTTTACTTCGTTATTATTAATTTCATCCATTCTCATACTAAATTCGTTGTTCAGATTATTGTAATTTTCATGTTCTTCTTTGCTCCTAGGTACCGTCGAAATCGTCTTGCTTAAGTTTGGGACTCATCAATGCGTCTTCAAATTGTTTGTCTTCTGATAAAGGAAGTGCATTATCTTGTACTATCAAGTTCCCGCACTGTAGCTTTATAAACTTGCCGTCTTTTCCAATAATTTCGTCCTGTCCTTTCATTTGTAAGCCTTTACCTATCTCTTACTCCATTGTAGATTTATATATTGCCTTTAAAAGATCTTACTCATTGTTAAAATATATCACAATATATCTTAATTTGTTTATTTTGACAATTTTTGCAAAAATGACCTCCGTATCTTTTAATATATTTTTTAACCAAAATAAAATCTTGCTCACCAATTTCTTTATCATCTAATGTTTTTACGGTTTTCCAGCTACATCGCTTCTTGATATCTCTTAAATTTATTGTTGCGCCAAACATCCTGAAAAATACTTGTGTTCATTCTTCTCTATTGTTATATTTGAACCGCCCTTAATGAAGATTTCCTTCATATCTTTTATTAGACGGATATTGGCTCGAACGGTCTTGTATTTGTAATTCCAAAAATAACATTTGTGAAACCGATACGCAACTTCAGCTGGGTAATCTTTGACTCAATATTATGAGGCGCCATGCTGTTCAAAAGTCTGGGGTTTAAACCCCAGATCAAATCCCAGATTTATCCGGGGTGAAAATGGATTAATCCATATTTCATCCCAGATTTTCCTATATTTCACCCCGGATTTGATCCATATTTTATCCCGGATCTGATCCACATTTTACCCCAGATTAATTCCTTAAAATTCACCAAAAATTATATCACACCCAATTGTCAACCCCCGGATTAATCCATATTTCATCCCAGATTTGATCCATATTTTATCCCGGATTTGATCTATATTTTATCCCGGATTTGATTCTATATTTTATCCCAGATTTGATTCTATATTTTATCTCGGATTTGATTTATCCCAGATTCAATTTTATCCCAGATCTGATCTATATTTATCTGGATTATATTTTATCCTTAGACTATATCACAGGTTTTAAGTCATGTGATCAGATTTTTTTGTTTATGAGATCATTTTAGAAACCTCTCTTATAACTTTAAAATAAAGTAAAATTTCTATTAAAGTTTACATGAGATGTTTTGAATAGAGATAAAGATGACCCTGAAATTAGATTTTCCAAAATTCTGAACCCATAATCCATAATTTCAAACTTCTGAAATCTGAAATTCCAGCCAAAATTGAAATTAAATATGTAAATTCAGCTGGAATTATGCACTTAATTCCAGCAGGAATTATTGAATTTCGATTTTGGCTGGAATTACGGGTTCATTAATTTTAATTATGAATTAATTTTGGCAGAATTTCAGATTTCAGATTTTTGTTAAATTAATTTCAAATTTCAGGGCTATCCTTAAATATAGAGATTACATGATTTTAAATTATTACCAGATGTCATACCCTTTACGCTTAATTTCAGCCAAGTTGCCAAGTTTGTAATGCTGGTTCCATTCTCACGTTATATCATATGA